GCGAACATATTTTTAGATATGTGGTATTTGAATTGGAACTGTTACTTATATTTTATTGCTTATAGGCCTACAAACTACAGCAGGACATTTTTTTGTTGTTGTAGCTCTAGCTTACATTGGGTCTGGATGTTCCCTCCTAATTATTATCAGTCATATTTTCGATCCTTATCCCAACACTCCTCCCTAATAGTTATGTAGTGATGGTCAACAAATGGTTATTGGTTGTGGTTGGTGACTGCTGACAGCTGACATAATGACGTTATTTACATATTAGATTCGAGCTTATTACGTCATATTTAATAGCATTTTACTGTTTTAGAAGAATTGTTTATTACCGCAGTCGACAGAACAGTCACCGAACCAGCCGAGCCAATTTCACGAGAGCGCATTTATTTTGCACGGTGTAAAATGTTGTAAATCTTTCATTAATTATGAATTGATGAAACGCCCTAAAATGAATATTTTTGTAGTTCTCTCGTTTAAAAAATGGTATAATTCTAGAACAAGATATGGTGTATGTTCACTTCATTATCTAAATAATATTTTCTTAATTCAAAATAGATATTATACCATTAGATAGTTCAAAATATGAGGAAATAGAAACTTTGAAACGCTATTTATTAGAAAAACTTACTACTATAACTTGCAAGCGTTGTACACTATTCGTGGAGTATTTAATAAGGTTATTTGACACAATTTAAAATAAATCAACAATAAAAGCAATGCATAACGATACTACAATCAACAATGAAAAGTGTTGAGACGGCCATGGACTGGACAAAATTCGGACTCCGAGCCACGTTTATCGACGATGAATCTATGTACGAGTGATAAAACATAAAAAATCACTCAGCTAAATTAGTGTCCAACCTATGTTCTGTGGGATACAGTTCTGTTTTTAGACAGTTACACAACCCAAGATCAGACACAGGTCGTCGAAGGCCATTATTCACTATTTAAGCTTAAACTGATAAAGAATCTTTCGCATGTCATTGGCGAATTCATAAAAAGGCCATAAAGGAAAGAAGTACGATGCCTCACTGTCGGTAAACGTGACGCGGAATCCTGTTATTTTTCTAGTCCAAGAGAACAGCAGCATCTTAAAAAGGGCACTGAAGGCGACAAGGCATAATATTACTTGTCTTGTATTAACTGATGTTTTTGCTTTCAGTACCGAGACTATTAAAGCTTCATCTGACGCAGAACCGGCGGGCTAGCCAGAACCCACGGGTTTTGGTAATATTACTGCGTATGTCAACGCGATCGGGTGCATGAAAGTTATTATGCGCAAACTTTCTCCCACTATGCCGCTTTTTGCCTGATGTTGTTTGCCGTAATCAAAAAACTATTGGTTTTACTGTTATCTTCGAGTTTCAACTTTTCATTGAAATCTTGCCATTCTTTCTATGTGTGTATCGCTAAATCTGCACTAATTTGGGATTTATTAATAATATTCAATTGCCGCATCTCTAAGATAATTTCTAATTAAAAATATATCGCTGAATGTATATATATTTTGATTTGATTAAATATATTTCTAGGATGCGAGAAAACTAAATTTTTTGCATATACCTATAAATAACATAAAAATAGATGTAAAATTCATGCTGACATTTTAAAATCTTTATATATTAATCTCTAGCCCCAATTCTCGTAAGAATAAGTTAATTCAAGTATTTCACGACTTAATCTGGTCCCAAAATAATATGCTTTAATATATTGCTTCACTCTATCCCCTTAAAACTGTTCTATTATTATCTATGATTACTTAATTATCTAAACTGAACATTACGCCTCTAATATGGTATTCAAGGTACAATTAATTACTAAGGCGTGGGGTAACATACTTCAAGAGATTGGGAATTGGGGCGTAACGTAATACATTCGCATATGTTATAATTATTGTGATTAATTTAAAATATAACGTAATTTATAATAATAATTCACTTGAGGCATTCAACATAAGAGCCATGCAAATAAAACCACAGCTTCATTAATTTCCATGATAAGGTGATCTATTGAAACGTTCATATAAATATTATACTACCAACACACTAAAAGTCAATGTACCTAATCGTTTAAGCGTTAAGATTGCGTAGTTAATATATTTTCTTGACTTTACATTCATGTGTTGTAAAACTCCTATTACCATTCTATGATCAGTGTTAGAATATAACATATTCAATAGATGGATGTCAGTGATTATCTTTTTTTTTCTCGTAAGTATCAAATAAAGTCATTCTATCTCTACTACACAAAACCACAGTTTCACTGGCTTCATTAATTTCTATGGAAAAGGTGCTTGGAACATTGATATAAATTTATTAACCACACACTAAAAGTCAATATACATTGTTTAGTGTAATGATCTATCTTATTTTTAAAATTTTGTGAAGTTTATATTATTTTGATTGAGCTACATTTTTATTAAGTTTAATCAAATTTATTCTCTTCAAAACTAGTCTACGGAGAGTAAAACATTTTATATATATGTCTTATCTATCGATTAAAATCTACCCACTAATGTGAGGAGAACATCAAGTAACAACACTAGTGACATAAAATTCTTAAATGTAATGAAAAAGTCTCGGTAAAATTCCAACACTTCACGATACTTAGATGGATCTCAAAAAAATTGTTTACAAAAATGGTGTGATCATTGCTACATATAAAAATAAAGTTCTTAGGTAAATATAACGGGTAGTCAGATAAATTAATACTAGTTTGAGCTGTAATTAAAACATACAATTATCTTAAAATAATCAGTGTATAAAAATTGCTTAGTCACAAAATATAATATTTGTAATGGGATATTAAATAGTTTTTGTGTACTTGGTTTAATAGAACCAGCAGGTTGGTAAATTCAAAGAAATTCGCTCGCCTCATTACCATATCATGCAGTGATTATTATCGCTAATACCGGCGTCGTAATAATAGTTTCTTGAAAAAAAAAGGAATATTCTTAACAAGAACAATATTGATTCCTTTGTGTCTTTATGATATACAGCATTTTACCACCTTAGGAGAAATTTTTACCTTAGAAATTATTTGTTTTGTTCCTGTCATCTTTCATTGAGAAGAGTAAGATGTTTTGTGTATGGTAACGTTTTATTGCTACTCATTTTTTGTTATTTTTTTCTACATTTTTTTGTAATTTGAATCCGCGACCTATCCTGAGGATATCTCGTACTAAGAGGATTCGATATAAATATTTTCATAATCTATTAGGAGCTGCAAGTCCTAATCGCAACAATTTTTATCCGATTGCGCAAGAAGGAGCGTTATGTTTTTATTAAACGGTTTTATTTAGTTCGACCCGTACGGAATTTATTTGTTTATTTGGGTCAAAATTAGAAATTGAAATTTAAGTACCTTCCCGTTGTCAGATTGATCTGAAATTTGGTACACACATTTAATTTAGATGACAATACAATATTGTAGTTTTCAGTGCACATAAAATAAAACCGTTTAACTTTAAAGTTTTTAAACGGTTTTATTCTAGAGTATGTATGTATGTATAATTGTTTGCCACACTCTGCAGCCTGAACGGCTTGATGGATTTTAGCTTGAGAGGTGTCATTAGATTCGTATTTACTGTGAGAGTGATACTAGTTATATGAAAATAAAATACTTCACAGAAACGCTGTGCGGTCTTTTTAATTATACTCTACTTGTGAAATTATGTCTCATAACAAAGGAAACAGACATTTTTCAATCTATAGGCCTTTTGGAGCGTTTGGAAAAATATTAAGAGCAAAATTGTTCCGAAGCGCGCGCACACCGACCCTCAAAATGCGACATGACGCTTGTTGACCAATTTAATCTTGGCAACCAATAAAAACTCTTCGACATTTACCAATAATTCTAAGCTATTTATGTAAACCGTTAACAAATGCATTTAATGTCTTTACGACAAAGAAGTATAACTGATCTTTACGCTAAAGAAATATAAGTACACACATATTTTTTTTCTAGTAAACAGTTGCACGTCGGTTTACTCACGAATTCCCATTCCAAATACGGAAATTCCAATATCGAACGTAGTTTAGTTGTATATTATAATCCTATATGGAACAAAGGAAGCCTGTTTTCTGATTTGAGATAAAAACTAAGCAGAGTTGTGATTTGCTTTTAATTACTGTGATTAATATTTAATAATTATTTATAAGGCAAAAAACCGTCTATTCTTTCAACTAATTTTGTTTTTACTTAATAAAAAGCTTTATGCTCCATAAATTGTTGCTTCTAGCCAGGTCAGTGTACTAAATCCATGATTTTTTTTAAGTGTGAAATTTAAAGAGAAACAAGTTTATTTCTTATGGTACGCGTATGGTGTTTGTTTTTTAATGTACTTGCGCAACCGTTTTCTAATATGCCATATTCAATTATACAACATTAAAATGATTTTAAAACAAAATTAAAAAAAAAGTATATTGAACCAAATCCCGAAATATTCAAAATAAATATTTCGGGACATATTTTTACGCAACTTTATCTAGTCCCAAACTAAGGAAAGTTTGTACTTTGGATACTAGGTAACTGATAAACATATAAACGTAGTTTTCTTTTGTAAATAATTACATATTATAGATATATAAACACCCAGACACTAGAAAAACACTATGTTCATCACACAATATTTTTCCATTAGTGGGGAACGTACCTACATCCTCCGAGGCAAGAGGCAGTGCCACTCCACCACTATGCCGATTAGATCGTCGTCTGGTCTTAAATCTCCAATGTTGATGGCTATCAAGACGCTTTAAGCGATAAACGCCTTTTTCTGACAAATTGTACAAAGTACGAGCCAAAAACAATTTTTTGTGTGACGTACATGTGTCTTCTTATTCATAACTTACTTTTTCTTAAATATAACCCTAATAAAACAGTGATTACAACTAGAGGCAGATTAAAATACGCAGACCTAAATAGGAAAAAGTCCGTCTCAGACAACGAGATTAGCATAATCATTAAAGCATTAAAATTATTACGCACTATCAATAAAAGTAAGCCGTGATCGCGACGAATCTTTTGTCGAGATAACTTTGTTCAACTTCCACAGAACCGCCCGTTTCTTGCGCCAAGGTCAGGATCTGAAATCAGATTGAAACTCTGTTTTGTTCAATGTCAGAAAATCCAAATCTTCTTATAATATCACTGAATCTAAATATAGTAAAAAAGTAATGTATAGTACATAGTGTTTTACAATCTTACGATTTTATAAGGTACTAGCGACCCGCCCCGGCTTCGCACGGGTGCAATGTATTATACATAAAAACCGCATCAAGATCCGTTGCGTAGTTTTAAAGATCTAAGCATGCGTAGGAACAGACAGACAGCGGGACGACTTAGTTTTAAGTATAATATTAGTTTACATAGTAATGTAGTTTCCCCCATGAGAATAGCCAATTCAAATTTTGACAACAATGTTATATTGAACTAAGTAGGAATATATCACCGCGCTTGTAAAGGGATGTCACGTGCAAATAACATAAAATATTTTTATATAATTGACGCTTGTATTTGTTTTGACTGCAAAGTAGGTAATTCTGTCATTTTTGATTTTTAGTCTCTGTATACATTATTTTTATCTAGCAATACGTAAAAGTTGAACTTAAAAAGCAAAACCCGACCTAAATAGATAATTTCGTCAAAATTTGTCAGAGCCATTTGCAATTTGTTTGGCCGATTTACACCAAAAAAATACAAGTGGACACTATTAATGTCATAAAACGCCATCTTGCCATCTTAAAAAAAATCGATGTGTCTGGCGGCTAGACGACATTATCAAAATATGAATAATCCAAAAATTACTATTGAGAAAAAAAACAAAACGCAACCTACCGTAATTTAATTCCCTCACCTGATCGGACTTGGTGTTTCTTGGTAAATACAATGCAATATTGGATGTTATAGATCCGGCCACCTTCATCAACTCCGAAGCAGGCTTTGGCTCCAACATTGTTTCAATGTCGTATTGATGGTTCTGAAAATATCTAACATTTAAACAGCAGACAAACCTGGGTTATTGGAGACAGTGCAGAGTCTAATTGTAGAATAAATAACTAGGTGTTAACCGCGGCATCGCCCGCGCGGCCAAAGGGAATTAACAATGAGATTTTTATTATACACCAGAATATCTCGCAGATGACTGATTTTTTCCCTACTTAGTTGACACTTATCATTACCTATATTTTGGATAATTCACACAATATCTTTATAAATTATAGTCTATGTGTTATTCTGATGTATTAGCAATATTATTGTAAAGTTTCATTAAAAAGTAACAAACATCCATCCATACATACAAACTTTCGTCTTTATAATATTAGTAAGGATGCACATTGATTGAGATATAAAAACTACTGACCGCAGAATAATTGGGACCACCCCATGGTGGACTCAGGAATACCATATCAGCTGACAGGTTGGGTGCCAGCTCGAAGAAATCACCGACTATAAACTCAATGTTTTCTTCAACACCATACACTGAAGCATTGTGCTTTGCCATTTCTATCTTCAATGGGTCAATGTCTATTGCTATCACTGAAAGCAAATTAAAAAATTTAAAAATTTCTAAGCTATGAATAAATTTAAAACTAAGTATTTAATAAACCTGTCAATGCACAATGTCTCAGATAAGCGACATTCTAAAAGTTCAAATTGAATGTACCTTTCTTACAGGTGCGGGCAAACTGTATTGTATTGCCGCCAGCACCGCAAAAGGCATCGATCACGGTGTCGAAAGCGAATTTACTAGCGATATGCCAGGCGACATTCTCAGGTGTAACGCTGAACCAACTTTCCCGGTCCAGTTTTATGCCCTCGTCAAACCTGAATGAACAGTTAAATTAAATTTCATTAGCAGATAATCAAATAATAAGTGAGATGTAACAATTTTTTTTTATTGTAGAAAAGCACAGGGCGCTTGGAGGCAATTATTATAATATTTTAATGACAGTATATACATACAGTATACTATTATTGCATTGTCATAGGCTTTTGACAAGTTTGCAAAGTTTGATTCAAATCTGATCGCTCAAAGTGGGGCAAAATCAAGTTTAAAAATTCTGTTACATACATACATGAAGGTGAAACTTATATGAGCGTGTTAAAAAGCCAGCGTCGCGTCACTTCTCGTTAAGAATAATTATTTGCAGAATAGTACATTGTGCCTCCACAAAACACTTTCAAGGACGCCAAAAATTACCATTATTCGGACATTTATTAAAATAGTGATTCATTACAACTATTTAATTTTAGAAAAGTTATGTATGTTGCAATAATACAAAAAATCTAATGAATGATAAATAATAAGCAAACAAGTTTTCATAAAAATCGCTGAGGGAGCGCGGCGACATAAACACCTAGTTTTTTTTATATAAATAATCAAAGGTATTGGGCTTATATGTATAAGATCATTTAAATATATGACATATCCCATAAAACTAATTTTAAATTATATTCCCTCACCTATGAAATAAAGAATGTCTCTTCTTCCAATACTTCATCATCTTTGGTTCACCAACAAGCTCCGGTGGTATGTCTGAAGTATCAATCGCTTCCCCAGAAGCTTCAAACTTCGAATAGCGCTTTGGTCTCCGACGACGCTTTATCTGATCTATTTGAAGTGGAACTGAAAATGATTTTTTTTTTGTAAGTAAATATAACTTTTGATTTGTAAATATAAATAAGGCATAAGTTATCGCTTACTCATTGCTGTACTGTGAACATAATAAACAAAATATAAGACACTAGCGACCCGCACCCGGCTTCGTATAAACCTTCCTCTTAAATCACTCTATCTAGTAAAAATAACTGCATCAAGATCCGTTGCGTAATTTTAAATATGTAAGCATACATAGGGACAGACAGACAGTGGGACGACTTTATTTTGTACTATATAGTGATGTATAATCAATTTATTCACTTACTGAAAATATTTAAAAACCTGATACACTTCCTTACAGATGCTGCCACAAACATGCGTTTAGGTGACTTCAATAACACTACAGTGCATACTATACACATATTATTTAGTAACCCTACAAAAAGTAAACAGGTCGTTCATGGGGCAAAGTGTGCGCATGTATAATAAAATCCCACAGTCGATATTAAGTCTGCCACTTGACGAATTTAAACGAAAAATTAAAAGTAAACTTATGGCTAAAGCCTATTATACTATTGCCGAATATCTTGACGACGCCAATGTGTGGGGTTAATACTGTTGATACTCACATAGGCTAAAACAAGACTATTGTACCTGTACTATTATATTGTAAACTGATTTTTTAAAAAAAGAGCAACTGTTGAGTTTCTTGCCGGTTTCTTCTCAACAGAAACTGCTTTCCGAACCGGTGGTAACTTACGAACGTGTTAATTTCTTGTAAAATTTTGACGTTTCATAAGAACGCGCAAGCGTCTATGTGAATAAAGATATTTTATTTTATTATTATTATTTTATTATTAACAATGTCTATTACCTATCAGCTCCTCATCACATTTCGTTTCTCCATCATTATTATCTGGTGAATCACTAAAGGAATTATCAAAATCTGGCGGAAGTGCAACGGAAGAGGCTTCCAACACAATGTCCACATCTTGGTTAGCTGGATCTTCATCTGTAACTTTGTTTTGGACATCAAAATTCGTGTTTTCCGTTGCTTCAATATTGTCTTTTTTCTTTAAATCGTGATTAACTGTGCCTTTATCTGATTGTGCTTCCAAACAATCATTGTCAGTCTGCATTTCTTTTTCTTCTTGAGATTCATGGCCCTGTTTTTAATGCAATGTTCTTCAAATATAATTTGGTATCATTATGTTTATATTTAATCTACAATAAGTTTCATAGTTATTTGTCAAAATTTAAGGGACTTAAACAATATGTATATATTGTGATATTTGTATTTATGTTCAAAGAACTTGGTATTATATCTTCAGTTAGATCAATAAATATAAAATTAATTTTAAATATCAAACAAATTTACTCTAAAACAACAACATAAAAATAACCTAATAGAAGCTTTCCAACACTAAAGGTGAAAAGATAGATAAGAGAAGAAATAGATAGTTCTTCTATATTTATTTCTGTCCTAAATATGAAAAGTAGGTTGTCATTCGAGTATTTAAGACATCCACCGAATCTGGCACACAAAACCAGTATGTCATATTATAATGATCTACTTTCAAAATACAATAACAAAAATATGGATGAATTTATTAAATATGCTTTATTTGGCTTATCATTTCTAATTACATATATAAATTTATAAAATACAGGGAGGTTTTTCTATGTGTATCCATTTTTTTTATTAAATTCTAGACATAAATAATGTTATATAAAAAATGATATATATTTAAAATCACTTGTATTTAATTAAATACATTCATTTGAACTTATCTCAAAAAGTGTGTGATGATTCATAACTAACATGCACACAAGTTCGTTTCGAAAGTTTATGACGCATTGTCAACAAGATCTGATTTTCAGGGAATGGAATGACAGTTTTTGTGAAAAATAAAGTTTGTTTTTATTTCAATAAACGATTATACTACCGAGTCTGAACCTTCTGTGTGAATTTGGGCACCTTTAGAAAAGCCACCCTGTATAGTTATATAAAGACTGCTTCTACCTGATATGCGTTTCCGTCATCATCAAAGTAAGTCTTTTTTGACTCCCCAAATTTCTTATAACGCGGCGGTCTGAGCCTTCCTACGCGCTTTCTATATACTAATTGACCTTTGGGCATGTTGTCCGAGTTCAAACAGAAACCCATTATTTCAAACGTTGCCTTTATCTTTTCTGAAGATACTTCCGCTTCATCAATTTCATGACTGAAAGTAAAGAAAATTAAATTTAAATTAATAAACGGTAAAAAAAAAGGTAAAGTAACAGCCTATACATGTCCCACTGCTGGGCAAAGGCCTTCTCTATACAGAGGGTATCAGGGCATAGTCCACCACGCGGCCCCACTGCGGATTGGCGGACTTCACATATTTTCGAAATATATATATTTTTTTGTTATTATTTCGAAAATATGGAGGTTTCCTCACGATGTTTTCTTTCACCGCGGAGCACGTGATAAGTCAGCACTTAAAGTTAAAAACTTCATTGGTGCTGGCACCGGGGATCGAACTCAGTATATTGAATTAAAGGCGAGCGCCCGGACACTGAGCTATCACGGCTCACGGTACATATATATAATATATAAACGGTAACCAATAAAAAATAAAAGGTAAGAATCCAATCTCAAGCACACCACCAAGGGAAGACTTCCAAGCTCAATCAAGGCTTTCTACCAATATGGAACACAAAATTACTAATTTTAATAACTGAATATAGTCCGGGTTTACAGTGACAATTGGACATCTAATATAATCATCAATATCAATCAATCGGACATTCATCCACAACCTTATCCGTGAACATAAATACTGTGATATATTAGAAACTTTAGGAACATGCGTGATATAATTCAAAACAATTGTTTCACCCCATTACAGTAATAAGAACATAATATTACATTAATTTTAATTTATAACATTTATGTTTAGTTTATGGAATGTGATTTATTACAATCTAGTTAATAATTTCTTTTATATATGATTTCAAATATGAAAGGAATAAAATACAATGCAAAGCTGTACTTTTATAATAATAAAGTAATCATTACCTTCTTTTTAATGACACAGGCCTTTCTTCAGGAGGGTCATCATCTCCATCGTCATAACTATAATTGTGTAAGTTACTATTATTTATTCTTGTTTGATTGTTACTTACACCAGTATTTGCATTATCTAAAACAGTATTTGTTACACCTTCGTTAGCTTCTTTCTTGTCATTTCCCTCATTACCTTCCACAACTTCATTTGATTCTGTTTCTTTTTGTTGCTGCTCTTTTAACAGGTTCTGTAATAAAACACCAACTGAACCAATATATTTACTGCTCGTTTTCTTATTCCTTTTCTTTGGCTTGGAGACTTTATCATCTAACTTAATTTTATCAACTTGTTCTTGTACTTCAATAACAGATGGCATTTCTTGAGAGTTTCCTTCACTATTCTCTAAATCCACTTCAATAACTTTTTTTTCTGGCACAATATCTATGTTGGGGCTGCTACCTATGGTTTTGTCTTCTTTTATGGTATTTGATGCATGTGATTCTATATAGTTTGCATAGTGTAGTGCATACTGCTCTCCAAAATGTTTCTTCCACAAAAACTGCCAATACTGCTCTGTATCCATTTCCTCGGATTCTTGATCAAAATTTTCATCAACATTTATATTGGCTATTCGTGTCTGATCATTAGATTGATCTTCAGATGGAGATGAAGAAACGCTATAAACATCTGGTGATGTTGACTCAGATGAAATATGATCAGAAGTGACATCACAGCTTGACAATGTAATTTTAGTTACATTTGTCATTGAGTCTGTTCCTGCAAAGGTCCTTGGACTCACAATCCTTTCATGCTCTGAACAGGAACGTTTTCTGCTTAAAGGTAACCAAGCATCCTCATTACTGTATGTTGAGTCACTCGACTTATCAATTTTATCCCCTTTTTCACTTGGTTTACTTCTTCTATAAGGATTTATTTTAGAGTCATAAGAGTACTTTCTTTCTCTGATATTATCATCTGTATCTTCTGTATTTTGCATTTCATTCTGTTCTTGGTAAATACGATCATTGGATTGTTGCTGTGGTGTGTTATTTTCATCCAAAAGCAAGTCATTGTTATCATCTAAATATGAAGGATTAATATAATCACTGTACTTTTTTATCCATGATGCCCAGATAATCCTTTCTCCATTAACAGCCCAGAATTTATCCCAAGAATCTTCAGAATGATAGTTCTCACAAATTTCAGTGACTTGGGTATCAAAGTCTTGGTCCATTTTTTCTATTTTATCATGATTAATGTAATCAGAGTGACAGTCTTGGTATGTGAGGTCAGCACCACTGTCACTTGGTTGTAGTGCATTTGATGTGATTCCTTGCAACTGAGGGTCATGTTCATCGGTAGAACAATAATTATCAGTATGAGAGGCACTGCAATAACAACTTGCACCTTCGTCTTTCTAAAATGGAAAGTTAAAATGACGGGAACGAATTATTTATATCTTATAATATTATAAATTATGCAATATTCATTCTTCTAAAGAAAATTTATATCTATATGTTTACCAAAATTGTTTACATTATGTATGGTGCTAAAATGCTTTAGAACAGCCCATCATGAGTGTAATATTTAATGTTTATGAAGTTAAACAAAGTATTGAATTATTTGTATTGCGAAATCGTAACTATCTTACCTCGCATTTAGCTTGAAATGATGTATCAACAGAGAAATGAACATGAGAATGGTCCTCTAGATCTTGAGATGGGGAATCCCGCGCGACTTCAATATCACTCTCACTGACGTCTTTATCAACATAATACGTCCTAACTCCATCTCTAATAATCATAAAAAGAGAGTTAGTGAAACTAATTATTCATATCGTGTATTGATTTTCTTACATTACACTTGTTTAACTCGCTTTCATATACGAACCTTATAAATGCTCTACTGCAGAGACAATAAATATAATTTTCATCTTCATAAATATCTTCCTCACCATCAACATTGAAATGAAATTCAGCAAGTGGTTCCCAACGATGATAATGATCATAGTACTCCGACATCATTACTGAAATGATCAATGAAACTTTTTGTAAACTCTATTTATAAATAGGTGAACGGTTACAATCATGTAAATTTTAGTTCTTTATAGTTTGTTTATACCTATGTCTAACAAAAAAAATTAATGCAAATTGCACAATGAAAACTTTGAACACCAAAACCCATTCAAATTAAAAACAAGTGACAGAAACAAGAAATGTTGCCATCATTAAATTGATAAATAAAACATCCACAGAGCACTTTGTAATATAGGGAATAAAGACTTTAGATATAGACATATATTAGACTACACTATTCATTATTAGTAACAAAAAAAAAATAGGAACAAAAAGGTTGGCAACGCAATAATTGACGAATTTCTTTTTAGTTAATGTAGTTTGATTTTAGGTCAACGGCTTTGACGGTTGTTAAATTAGATACGAATATTTTAACGAAAGGGAGTTTTTCTTTAGGGGACAGTCTAAATGACAATTATGTTCTTCTACAATTTGACCTTTACACAGGTTGTATATAAGGCGTATAATGTGGATTATATTTACATTAGATAAAACATGATAATAACATTAGTATGATAACATAAAATAAATTGTTTATGTCATTTACAACAACGCAGTCTGCTCAATAGCGATGAAATTTATAACGTGTAGTTAGTTTTTTTAGCGATAGTATATGTATTCGCTGAAATTCAAGAAATCATATTCTAGTGCAAATGGACAATATTATAAAATAAACACATCACGATTTATAGAACAATTTCCATGAATTATTGTCTAGACAGATTTATTACGTCGAAAAAGTAGTCTTATATGAAATGACGTCATAATAAACGAATGCTTTAAGCATTCGTTTATTATGACGTCATTTCATTCATCATTTCAATGAAACTTTTTACGATGGTAAATTTTTGCGTGTCCAAATCAATTTGAACAGTAGTTGGTTGATGTTTTTTTCAAATCTTAAAATCGCTTGAAAACACATTAAACACACTAGTCTACTCATATTCTTAAAAAAAAATTAATTGTTATTGTCAATTTGTCATTTCATTTTTCATTCAATTGTCATGTCAGTCTGTCACACGTCTAACCCACGTTTATTTTGACAATATTCTGACTAAACTCAAAAATTATCGTTTTTTGAAATAATTTAACTTATAATTACGTACATGATAGAACTATAATGGGAAAGAAAAATAAAGATTCTTTGGGCCGGGCACTTATTAAGGACAGATTTGCAAAAAATCGTCATCGGCGGCATGTGGAAGACAATACAATGGTAAGAACGTAATAATTAAACTACTAGTATTTAAAATGATGCTTATGTTTTTGTAAATTTAAAATATGCTGTCATCATATTGTGTGGAATTGAAAAACTCGATTTTGCATTTCTCTAATAGGACCGCTATAGTTAAATCATCTACAATAATATAATACATATAAAATACATATAAACCTTCCTCCTGAATCACTCTATCTAGTAAAAAAAACCGCATCCAGATCCGTTACACAGTTTTAAAGATTAATCATACATAGGGACAGACAGACAGACAGCGGAATGACTTTGTTTTATACTATGTAATGATTAATATGTTTTATTATATACCAACATATTTGCTCAGTGTTTGGTTGATCACTTTTTTAATTGACTGCAGTGAATCACATGTTAGTATATGTATAATTTCTATTATTTATCTTATTACTTGATTATTCTATAAGAATGATCAAGTAATCCATAACTCAACATATTTTATATCTTTCAGTTACATACAACAGAAGTCAATGATGGCTATGAATGGGGTCGATTAAACTTGCAATCAGTAACAGCTGAGTCTTCACTACAAGAGTTTCTTTCAACAGCAGAACTGGCCCAAAGGGAGTTCATTGCCGAAAAACTTAATGTTAAATATGTAAAGTCAGCCCCCTCTGCAGTAGAAGTTGTTACTTCACAACCAAATTTCGATGAACCATTAACAGTGCCAAGAAGGTATGTATCTAATCTGTTGTCATTTATAAATTTTATCTTGAGGCCTCTTTTAAATGTCTGGTTTATTATAAATAAATAAGTGTATTATATCATGTTTTTATAAATCAAAAAGCCTACACTTAATTCAACATTTTAATTATAAATTGCCTTATCCATGTACAATATTTACTTTTTAAATAATTTAACATAAAATAATTAAATGAAAGTCTTATATCATAAATGGCTATTTATTTGGTATTGTCTATTTACATTATTTCAGTATAATATTATTTTAATGAAATTATTAAACAAAAATATGAAATTATTTAGGCCATTATGGCAGCATGGCATAACAGCTGAAGAACAATTGGGCCGTGAAAGAGATGCATTTTTAGACTGGAGGAGACATCTCAATGAACTTCAAGAGAAACTTGGTGCTGCCGTTACCCCATATGAAAGAAATTTAGAATTGTGGAAGCAACTATGGAGAACACTGGAGAAGTCGGATATTGTTTTGTTACTCCTGGATGCAAGAAATCCTTTACTTTTTAGGTAATTATGTATAAGATGCAATTCATGCTAAAATAGGGGATGAAAATGGGAGGCAGGATTAAAATTGCCCCAGCCCTGTAGTCTCGGGCTCGTAGAATAGAGCTAAGGTATCCCCTGCCTGTCGTAAAAGGCGACTAAAAGGGGACACGGATTGGCAGCAGCACGAAGTGGTCTCGGGCTGCTGGAAGATGGCGAGGGAATCGGGGAAGGTTTACCCTTCTCCGAGGCGTGCTCACGCCCAGTACCGAGGGACACCGGTGCGTTCCATAGGAGATCCCGGAGTCCCTCCAAAGGTACAGAAGGTGGCCACCGAGGGGGTTTTAGTGGGTACGAACCCCCCACATAACCCTGTCATATCATGACAGGGTATCTTTTGAAGATTTCCCCCCCGATACCAAAAAAAAAAAAAAAAAAAAAAAAGGATTAAAATTGCCCGCTAACATTCCTGCTCATTTCCACCATAATTCCATCCATCTGCATAGTGCATTAATATGTTGCATGCCCCTCTGCCCAAGTACAGTGCAACTTCAAGTTCTTGTTTTTGTTTCTTTGCTAAACTTTTTTCATTGACTTGTTTACAAATGTCCAAAAGGATTGACTGTTTCATTAAAAACATATAAATATATAAATGAAAATATAAATGTATAGAATGTAAATATATAAAACATGACCTTTATAAAGTGTTATTTGGAAATTTTGTAATATTAAACTAATAAAGTATTTGCTCAGCACAGTATATACTATACTCTGCCCAAATATTTTAGTGTCAAAAATGTTGTTTCTTTTCTTAAAATATTGTTTGATAGATATATCATTAACTACACCTTTTTTTTATTCAACGATTGGCCGTTTGTTACATAGCATCTTAACTTTCATAACAACTTGTAGATGCGAAAGTGAGATACTAGCATTCCTTTATTCTACAAGGTGTTATGAAAGTTAGGAAGCTATGTAACTAACGGCCGTTCGTTGAATATAGGAACCTGGCGTAAGTGATGTATGCATGATAAGTCTTTGATAAGATGAGTGTTTGTGTCGTAATGAAGGCATCAGAAATTTGAGATCAAACTGTGCTTATAAAGGAAGTGTTCATCACTTAATGCATAATTTTATTTTCTTTTCAGGTGCACAGATTTGGAGAAGTATGCAGCTGAACAAAACTGCAAATGTATCCTTTTATTAAATAAGGCTGATCTAACCACTGAATATGTAAGGAAGTGTTGGGCGGAATACTTTGATAAGGAGGTGAGTGTTAAAAATGTTCAAAATATAAAGGGATTGAAATATAATTTTTATAATCTGTGCTCATTTTAATAAACTATCATTATTTCAGAACATTTTCATTATATTTTTCTCCGCTGCAAAAGTATCAAAGGAAAGAAAAATTTCAGAAGGATCTGACACTAAACCACATAAACAAAGTTTAAGCGATGACAGTAACAACACTGAGTCTGAATCATCTGATGCTGAAGAAATCGCCAATGAGGATGTGGGAGAAAAAGATTCCTTGAAGAATACCCAGGAAGACATAGAAATGTTCAAAAAGCAACTAGGCGTCATTGACAAAGCCGTTTCTGATACAGCTGAAAAGATAGATAAAATACAAGAAACACTTGACAGAGTTTTAGAAAATCTGAAATTAGGTAAACCTGTTGAACAGTTGTTGAGCGAGGAGAAGAAATCTGATGATATTGGAACAAAGGAAACCATCACCAATGAAATTGAAGATACTCAAAGGAAGAATTCCCATGAGATTTTCGGCAGAGAAAAGTTGCTGGAAGTGCTAAAACAGATATCTATAGAAAGATTAAAAAATCCTCCAAGATTGACAGTGGGTATGATTGGCTACCCTAATGTGGGAAAATCAAGTACTGTTAATGTCTTAATGCAGACTAAGAAGGTAATCAATTGAAAAGCACTTTTACTGTTTTACCTTTTCTTGCAAGAATAATGTGTTAGACATTTGAGAATTCATTTATTTAATATGCTTTCTTGTATATAATGTATTTCTATATTTTACTTATTAAGCCAAAGTTATAGAGTCCTATCAATGTTTAATAATAATGCTAAGAGTTTTAATTAAAAAAAATATGATCACAATATTAATATGCCGTTTGCCCTTTTGCTTGCGGAAGATTATTGAATATGTTCTGCTTTATTCAGGTAAGCATTGTTGCCTTAATAAAGATAATGCACTTCCATACTGCGCGGAGTTTAAAAATTGTTCCGCTTTCTTGTGATGTGACAGATGATATTGAATGTATGATACAGAAAGTGATAGCATTCTATAGAATTGCAACAATTGGCGTAATTCGAGTGCCTCAGTTTCGATGCGCTGGTGTTATGACACTGACGCACATAGATGTTTCTGTCTACTATTGGTAAATATTATTGCAGGTAAGCGTGAGTTCCATGCCCGGGCACACCCGACACATCCAGTCGTTGATTCTCGACGACGACATAGAATTGTTGGACTGTCCGGGTTTGGTGTTGCCAGCGTACGCCGTTGCCCCGGACTTACTCTTGACCGCGGTGTTGCCAATTGATCAGGTAATTGGATAAAAATCAACATCAATTACACAAAACTGAGAGTAGTGAAATAATCATATAATTCATAGAATAGAAATTGCTAATGTAGTTGTGGTAAGGGTGTGGTATATCACTCTTGAGCAGGATATCAAATAATAAAGTCGGTCTGACACTGATACTCACAGTTTATTGTTCCACAGCACAAATAGTCCACAAATAACAGTTAGAAGGAGAAGGCAACGGAGTTATTTAGATGCGAAGAAACAAGCAGAGAGATCTGTAATCGCAAGCATTATTATTTTTGTAAAATAATGTTATTTTAACAATATTATTTTCAATGGTAAATTTAATCATAGAAATGTTGTTTGAGTCTCTCGATAAACTCATACTGCCATACCGTGTTTAATTCATCATCGTTTTAATTCTACTACTCCTAAGCTAGAATGAAATCTGGATAATTTTATCCTGCAGTGGAGCAAGTAGTCTTTTAAGAAAACAAATAAAAAATATATTTATGATGACTCTATGGCGCAGTTGCCGAGGTATTGGCTTCAGGGCTGAGGGTTCGATTCCCACACGGGACAACTATTTGTGTGACCCACAGATAATTGTTTCGGATCCGGGTGTTCTTCCACGTGCAGTTTATGTATGTTGTTAATTTATTAATGTTATCCTACATAAGGGGTAATGTTTTCGATGCGAAGGCTGCAACAAAATATTGACGCTTGTCTTTTATTCAAGATGCGTTCGCATGACGCTGCCATGGCGCGCCTCTGCGAGCTGGTGGGGCGGCGCACCTTCGAGGAGAAGTACGGACTGCTTCTGCCGCAATACGATGAAAGCGACGGCACCGAATACAAGAAGATACTCACGGCACACGCCTGTGAGTGCTCTCGGCGATTCGGAATAAATATTATTTTTTCATGTAAAAATTTGGTAAGCGTCTGGTTCACAAGATGTTAAGTGAATGTCGCAGTTAAGGGTGATTTATAGCAACTGCCGGGTTAAATAGTGGGTCCCGGTTACCCCACTCACGAGATGAAACGTTAAAGTGTAATACTTTCACTTCACTCCGGTCATCGCTGAGGCCGTGGTTCTTCCCAGGACGAGCCTGATTATTTGTGCTATAGCCAAAGCTGTCGCGTGGCACTAACACAAAGCAATATCGAAATCAAGACAAAACTTCATCATTCATCACTATTAAAGTGATGGCTAAGTAAATGATGATGGACAGTTGCATCTCCTAACTGATCCATGATTTAACGTAACAATCGTAATGACCCATGATTATTAAATTTTCATGGAATAATCATGGCTCGATGGGAATCCACGGATAGCTGAATAATCACGACCTGCGACCGATCCAACACTTATGCCCGGTTCATGTATTCAACGAACGGCCGTTAGTTACATAGTTTCGTAACTTTCATAACGACTTGTAGATTACTCTCTTACGGCCCACTGAGCAATTACACCCAATGAGCCATTACGGCCCGCTGAGCACTTACGGCCCACTCAGCAACACGACCCGCCAAGCGATCACGGCCCGCTCATCACTTACGGCCCACCGAACGATCACGGCCCGCTCAGCTCTTACGGCCCACTGAGCAATAACACCCACTGAGCAATTACGGCCCGCTCAGCACTTAAGGCCCGCTCAGCACTTCCGGCTAGCACTTGGCCCGCTGAGCGATCACAGCCCGATCAGCTCTTACGGCCCACTGAGCAATAACACCCACTGAGCAATTACGGCCCGCTCAGCACTTAAGGCCCGCTCAGCACTTCCGGCCCGGCTAGCACTTGGCCCGCTGAGCGATCACGGCCCGATCAGCTCTTACGGCCCACTGAGCAATAACACCCACTGAGCAATTACGGCCCGCTGAGCACTTACGGCCCACTCAGCAACACGACCCGCCGAGCGCTCACAGCCCGCCGAACAATCACGGCCCGCTCAGCACTTACGGCCAGCTGAGCGATCGCGGGCCGCCGAGCGATCGCGGCCCAACTAACGCACGTCACGCGCGCAGTCAACCGCGGCTTCATGTCGGCGGCGGGGCAGCCGGACGTGAGCCGGTCGGCGCGGCTGCTGCTCAAGGACGCGGCGGGCGGGCGCCTCCGCTGGGCGCGGACGCCGCCGGGGCTCGAGCCGCGGGCGCCCTCGCCGCCGCCCGACGCGCACGGCGACGGCGCCAGGAGGCCGACGCCGCGCGAGACCAGGCTGGTCGAGGTGAGTGCGCGCCTCAGAGACGGGGAGGACACGTCCCACTGCTGGGAAAAGCCTCATCCGTACAGAGGGTATCGGGGTACTCCGCCACGTGGCCCCACTGAGGATCGGTGGCCCGGGCGTTCGCTTTTAATTTAATATACTCAAGCAACCCGAGTTCGATCTGCATCTTATCACATGCTCCATAGCGAGGATAAATATCGTGGGGATATTCGAAAATATACCTGCATATTTTCGAAATAATAACAAGAAAATGTTTGGAATATATGTGAAGCCACCAATCCGAGGAGGCCTTTGTCCCGCAGTGGGATGTACCACCCTATACAGAGAGGTTTTTTTGAAGTGTATCCATTTCTTTTTAATTAAATTCTAGACATAAATAATGTTATATAAAAATCATAAATATTTAAAATCCCTTGTAATTAATTAAATACATTCATTTTAACTTATCTCAAAAAGTGCGTGATTTATAGGCAAATCATTTATTTTACGCGCGATCATCCATAACTAACACGCACACAAGTTCAAATATATCAAATATATAATTTATGAATGACTACCGCATTGTCAACAAGTTCTGTTTTTTAGGGAATGGAATGGCAAATTTTTTGAAAAAAAAAAAAGTTTGTTTTTATTTCAATAAACGATTATACTACCGAGTCTGAACCTTCTGTGTGAATTTGGGCACCTTTAAAAAAGCCACCCTGTATAAGCTGTTAACTAACTTTTACTTTATAGTGAGTCAGATGTTTGAAGTCAGTTTATTTTTAAGTCAGGAAAACTGTTATTGTTTGGCTATATTACACTGTGTAAACCATGACTTCGATATTCGGCGATGACCAGAAATTGGAGAATATAGTATAATAATTCATTCAAAAGACAATGCTATTGGTGTCTATACACCCATCGTTCTTTGTCACATGTCCACCGTATTAGTAGCGGAGGTTAAATCAAGCTCTTCAATTACCAATTTTAAATCTTACCTCTTAAGTAAATTAGTAAGCAGCGTCTATTTATTTTAAATACATGTGTACCCGGCAATGAAAAATGAAATGATCGAAACAGGGCTGGCGGAACACGTCTACCGAGATCGACTCTGCGTTCTTCGCTATGAAGAAGAGTACGGCGCACGTGAAAGGGAAACCGGTATTGGGGTATGCATTACTTAGCATTTCTACATCTCATTTAATAAGCTTATTTATACAGGATGTCCTAATACTCAAACTCGAGCCAGAAACGTTTGTAAAACTTACGGTGCATTCTTGATGCATTCTTTTGCCTTTGTACATCTCATATGCACGTATATAAAGGATGTTCTAACAGTCAACGTCTAGCTGGAAACGTTTGAATAATCTATTTATGGTGGGTATGCATTCTTTTGCCTTACCAAATCTTATATAAAAGCTTATAAAGGGTGTCTCAAGAGTGAACGTTAGGTCGGAAACGTTTGAACAATCTATATAAGGTGGGTTTGAAACCGTGGCAAAAGTAGATTCTCGAGATTTTTGCGATACTTTCAAGAATATAAAAAGTTGCATTGTACTGTCCTTTTGTCAATATGACAAAAGAGTTTGCTTTCCGGAAAAGCCCCCAAGGTTTTTTGTCCATAACATATTGAAATACTATCAATCCAATAACTGACAGGAATCTAATGGTACGAAGAAAACTGTAAAAAGTTTTAGGATTATGTGCCAAAGAATTAGGTGTACATACTTGTGTTCGAGAAACGTTAACGTGATTCGGATGATGGAAGAGACAGGGACTAGTTAAAACCAAGTCACATGTACTCTTACCTGATCCAATGTCCTAATGTAACCTATAATGTACCACTGTGGTACATCATGAACAGCAGTTCTGGAAGAACTACGGCCTCACAGAATACGTAAATTATATGTATCAAACGTTTGGGTTTTTAGACTTTGGCACCGAACTTCCAACCAATCAGTTGTGGTAAATGTCAATGGGCGGAGCTCGTTGAACATCAGGTGGATTGTCTGTTCGCTTGGTATTCTTTTTTGGCAGCTTATCGGCTAACAAAAAAGAATACCGAGATGGCAACACCGCCTCTGGAAGCATCTTTTAACAAGCCACAATCTCCACGCGCCATCATACCTCCGTCGCTTTTAGATGTCGATTTCAGAACGATTCCTGTGATCGTTAAAGCACTCTCAGGCGCGTCGTAATACAGTTAAACTACGAGTTAGCGCTTGGCCGCTCTCCAGCGCCGAAAACTTTATTTAGGTCGCCCCTTAATATTATTGATAATATTCCGCCCGGGTCGCTTTCATCTTGTCGCGTTATTAAAGATGATGTCCGCTCGGCTTTTGATGGCCGCAGTATGTTATTGCCTTTGACGCTTGCGACGCGATGCTAAGTGTGTAGTTTCTTTTTGATTAGCCTTTTTTAATAACAACTTTTTTTTATTTAAATGACGATGATACGTGTTTTTGGATTTAATTTGTTCATTTCACACTTAGCTCCTATTTCATTGATTAAAGTAAATGAAGTAAACTTGCGGCAGTTAAAACTACAAACAGTATGCAATGCGTACATATCTAATTATAGTTATTTTAAGTAAGACAGTTTGATGAAATTATTTTTAACATATTTGACCAAATATCTTGTGGTTAGTAGTTTTTTAAGGATATTTAGACAATTCTCAACATATTTAAGCTAGCCTGGAAGGTATTTAAGAACTGAGAGATATTTTTCTAGAATTAAAATGTACGAGTTCAAAACATATTTGTACCGTCAGCCTTGCACACAAATGTTACCTTTGGCAACTATTTTGTATTTTGAAAAACTTAAGCATTTTACTCATAATATTAGACTATTTATACCACGTCAATACTTTATTGTTACCGTTGAATTAATTACATGACCTTTCACTACGTTTTGTAAATTTTCGACCCAAAAAACGTTCGTGTATCGCAGTTTGAACAATTTTCTTGTATTAGTTTCATCGAAACTAACTAACGAATGTTGCAATCCTAACTTTAAAACAACATAGGTCTACGGGACGAGGTCTACGTTATTTCGTAGACAATTCCGATCGTAGGGCCTTAGTAGGAGTATAATTAAGTACCGCCATGTTATCTTTAAAGTAACGGTTTATATACGAGTATACAGCCCCCTTTGTAACTTAGGCATTGTGGCTTATCAGCTGGGATGTTGGAATTTCGAACATAGGGTCACGGGCTTCAAACTCTGGCGTGTATTTCCAGCTTGTAGGGTTTTGAAATTGCATCTCACAACTTTTCTTAATACCCGGATTAAAATACCGGGAAACCGTGGATAGAACGCTATTTGTCCATCCCGGGAGAAAGCTATTATTGTATTTACCTGTGTAGTCATATATTATGTAAATTCCTATTGCACCACCTACGTAGTAAACATTTCCTTTACGTCATTGGTTGCCTGGAAATATCGCTATGAAGTGATAACCCCGCCAAATTGTTCAGTCCATCAATTTGTTCTTCTGTTGTTACTTTTGCGTATCCTTTCATTTGTGGTGGACAGTAGAATTGTATTCATTCATTCATTCATTTACTCATTCATTCAAGATGTCTTCTTAATTCCTGATTCTGGCCCCTGCAAAAGCAGTCGTAGTAAAAAAATAGGAAACCGTATCTGATTCCAGGTTTTCAACACGCCAACAACTTCTCGCGTTTATAGCCGATTTAAACACAGGAGTTTCAAAAGTTGATAGTTTCGTTTAACACACGTTTATAACCGCGAGAAGTTAAAATACAGGAGTTACTAAAGTTCATAGTTTCGTTTAACGCAAACAACTGTAAATTTTTAGAGTGGCGAGCCCGCAGTCAGCCGATAAGCCGGTCCTGGGCAAGCCCTGGAAACAGGAGAAGAGGCACGCGAACAAAAACAAAAGGGAGAAGCTGAGAAGAGTTTACGCGCATTTGGACGAACACTAGTCCAATCGATTCCTATACAAATGGAACCAGTTGCACAATTCCAAACGTGTTTCTAGCGATAATAAAACAGTTTTGTAAACTGTACGAGTAAAATATTAAGTGCAATATCACTAAAATATTAAATGCATTTCGTTGTAAATACTTTTGCCTTAAATTGTGACACGTAAATAAAGTTTAAGAACTCTATGGTGCTGTTTTCTTTCTGTTATCTCCCTGTGCACTTATGACAGGCAATGCTTGCAACTCTAAATGAAAGACGTTGAAGCCTCTTAAAAGGAAAGTAGGTTGGTAACATTTGAACCCCTGGGAAATGCTCTTTCACATAACTGCTGATAAATAAAACGTCATGTTTACGCCTTATTTTAAATGTCTATTTGTGACAACATATCGATTCTGTGGTAAGACGCAGTTTCTGGCGTTGCAACAATTGGCTACGCTCGTCCGGAGAAATATCGCGGTCTCACAGAATACCTTTGTGAAGTGGTAGTAGGTAGTACTTTCGTGTTACACCTGATGGGTTAGGTAACTTACTTTTTTAACTGTTGGAACAACGCGTCTACAACTCAATACCGTCCATGGGTAATCACTTAAAACGCACAATATTACATACATAATCATCACTTAAAATCAGGTGAACCCCTGCTTCCTTCATAAAAAAAAGCGTAATAAAGAATAAATATTTTAGGACACATTTTTTCGTTCTCTAGTCCCAAACTAAGCAACGCTTGTACTATGGGTACTAGATAACCGATAAACATACTTAAAAATACTTTTCTTTTGTAAATAAATACATGTCATACATATATGTATGTACACCCAGACACCCTATGTTCATCACAATATTTTTTCAGTAGTGGGGATCGAAACCACCCTCTGACGGACGCAGGAGGCAAGCACTAACCACTACGCATTCTAACTACAATGGCTATTATCATTGCACAATTATTGCCATTCTTAACTATTATGGGACAGGAACAGGAATTCATTGGCTCACCTGATCACTGCCGCCATGGATATACCCAACCATCTCTGTTGGAAATGTAAAAGCCTTGAGGCTGGTAAGGCTTTTTTTATAATATTGGTAAGGCCACGCAATCGATTCTCTGTTGCACGAATGGGCAGGTCCGTCCGAGGAAGTATCACGACCTCGTAGAAGACCTGCATATTGTAGAAGAGTTATACTTCTCCGTTTCGTCCGACCAGTGAGGTGACCCACTTTATTAAAAATTGGCAACGAATTAGCAACCTTACGATTGTTGCAAATATCCATGAGCGGCGGTTATCACATACCCAGGTGAACCGCCAGTGCGGTTGTCACCTTCATACATAACAAAATAATAATTAAAGTTAAAAAAATATACATAATTAATTATAAAACCTACATATTCCGTCGAAACTGCAGGTTATTTCAAATATGCGCCACACTTCCCGAGCACCTCAAGTGCAGAATGTGTGATTTCATAGAACTGTCGCCGCCATATCGATTGTCTCAATTTTTCAACGGTAACAGACATCCAGTCGTTATATAGCGGTAAACGCGCGCTGATATTTCGAGCTCGCTAATAAATATCTGAGGTGTATAAATCAGGGGATGACGTCAAAAAAAATACGGCCGGTCATCGAAGCGGGACGCCTATAGTCATCCGCGATATAAACATATCCAACGGACGATTGCGCAAATATGCGGAGAATTCTTATGGACTAACATCGGTCCGAAACACTTGATTTACGACGCGGCAGCTAATTTAAGGCGAAGTGGTGCAATTCTCACGCAACTCGCGAACGGCTACACGAAAAGCCAGACGTGGCCAACCGATGCCGAAAGATTCGATGTTAAACACGAAAAACCGGCCAAGCGCGAGTCGGACTCGATAGGAAAAAAAATCAGGTACGGGAGCCCCCTTAAATATTTTTTATTTTATTCTGTTTTTCAGTATTTGTTGGTATAACAGCAACAGAAATATATCATCTGTGAAAATTGTCTAACTATCACGGTTCATGCACTCAGGTGACAGATGGACAGACAGACAGCGGCGTCTTAGTAATAGAGTCCCTTTTACCCTTTGGGTAGGGAACCCTAAAAACTTTGAAGTCAGAGATCAGAGGGAATCTCGGCGCATGTTCTGCGATGTTCAATTTCCGTTCTAACCTTTTAACATTTCTCATTCGACTACAGATGTTAAAGAAAATCGTGGTTAGTTTTCAACGATACACGTTTAAAATTTTTTGTCCGTAATAAATTCGGGAGAAATATTTTCAGAGGGATTTTCGATGGAAATATTTATAATATAGCCGACTCGTTAGCGAGAGAACAAGCATAATTTGTTGTTAATACCGGATGATTTGTTAAGTTCCGGGTAGTCAGTCGGGCTGAATTAATGCTTATGAAAAGTTATAAATATATTTTAATGAGTAGAGCGTAAGTTCCTGGTCGAGCTACACAGCTTGTGTTGTAGTTGAATTGGTTCTAAGGCTGTATGACTAAAGAAAAATATATTTAATATTATGAATCTAACAGTTATGGACGTTACAAATTAAAAGTTTATCTTTACTTTAACCTATTACAAACGTATCTTGCTTTAAATTGAATATTCCCAATTTCTAGTGGCATTACATAATCTTGGCAAATTTGAATACGAATTTCGCATGTACTAGTCAGTGCATAAAATAACCTTTTTCGTTGTAAGGATTACTGAATTTTCGCGCCCTAAATTTTCCTTGCTTACTTGGTGGAAAACACTTGGTGTAATTAAATTTGTAATTCTGTCAGGCCTTTTTTATCGTTTCTTTTTTAAGCTTTGTCATGTATTATAGGCATTTGGTGCTTGGGAGTGGAGGAATGTTAACTTTTTCAACGTTACATTATAATTCGCGAACACCTTTAGATTTCTTTTTATGGGATATGAAATTTTAATACAGCATAACTTTAAACAAGGTAAGAATTGAGGTTTACAATACAACTTTGAGTATCCAGCAGAACTCGCTATTAATAGTTACTCGAAATGAATTCGTTAATAGAATAAGTTTGTGTATCCACAAAATGAAGCTAATTTCATGCAACTACTAATCAACTGTTTTTTTCTTACAATTAAACAAAGTTCATATTTTATGCTTTTCCTTTGAATAAATTACCATGTTTGTTAGGGGGAGCTTTGGTCGTTATGATTGACATGACGATCAAAGCTCTATCAAGTAAGCTGTTAGTTTATCGAAATTAGCCGGTTCGATTTTCGGGTGTATCAATCGTAATTTCAAAAATCTTCGTATGCAGTTTTGCCTTTTTTTTAAATATAAAGGAATTCTTCCTTTGAGTAAAATTGGCTATCTCCAGAATTTACACTTTGCTATTCCCATACTTATCATGTTAATTGAATCTGTAACCGACTGAAAATGTCTACAGAACAGAATATAAACTTTTCCTCTAAAATCTTCGTAATTACCATGCTAATCTTATTGTTAAAATGCTGCAAATCGTCGATTTAGTAGAATAACAAAGAAATAGATAAAAAATAATACACTGCCAATATTCAACAGGCCCAACGTAGACTAAACAAAGGTTTGAATTTAGAAAATGTATCTCGTCGCGTTCCACTTTAATAAATGTTGGATACGTCGCTTTGAACTGTCCGTAACAAACTGCGTTGCGGTGAAATATTTAACGGCCGCTGATAGATGCGACGTAATAGTGGAATACCTCAATTCATTATTGTGCCAGTAAGATCATTCGTTTAAAAAAAAGGCGCTTCATCTCGCATGGTTGTTTCTTTAATTGTTACAATTCTTCAAGTTTCAAGCCTATTAAAAACCATGACAGTAGTATGAATAATAATTGACTACATATAATAACATTTAAATAACAGTATAAATAAATAAATGTTTCACAGCATATTTTTTACACCGCGTCATCTAGTTACAAACTAGGCAAAGCTTATGTTGTAAGTGGATGGATGCGGCTTTCAATTTTGGCGATGAATATAACTATAGTATAATATATTATTTTTTTGTTACTCTAAAAATTTTCCGACTTGTAGTCAATACCACCTTACCTTGACATGCCTCTTTATAATACTGTAGGTACCTCAGAGGTTAATAACATTGAGAATGCGCCAAAATTTTACAGGAGAGGAAAAAATGCGTGGACAGAATCATTGACTTTGTTGTCATATACGATTGGATATTTTATTAATTAAGCGTCGTAGGACTTAGTGCTTTACACTATTGCGTAGAATTTGTTCTTGCGATTTTAATGGTGTAAGAAAAGTATTTGTTACTATTGTATGCCTCTGAGGTACAGAATCATAGTGTCGCTTACACGACGTAAGACTCCTTATTATAATTGTAACATGTATCAATTTAAAACCAAATATCAGCCAGCCAATAATACACATGATAAGACATTAGAAGGAAATTTTTCTTCTTGATGCAGAAAATAAAACAGTTTTATTCTCTCATAAATTGATGTCTTCTCTTAGAAGATTTCTGCTACGATTTTATCTCGATTCCAGTAGCGCCGATGGTGATTTGATGAACTCGGTGCAAGTTCTCATAAAGGAGACCTTTTCACTTTGCTGTTGACAATAGTATGCATCAGCAGCAAAGCGGAAAAAGACAATTTTATGAAGAACTTTCGCTTCTTTTTTCATTCCCACTCATCCCTTCTTTGTATCTGCCACTGCGTTCAGGATGCTGTAACAATAATTGTAATGCGCATACATAATATACTACTTATATTATCATACATAAATATAAATTTATAAAAATTATTAAAAATTAATACAAGAAGTCGTAGATGTTTCCTACCATATGTATGACAGGAAACGTTCAGGGGGCCTAATACAACCGAAATTGTTATCCGAAGTTCCCACTCCAAGCTTGGTGTGCCGATTGACCTTCATCGGCCAGTACGAGAGTGCCATTTACAACAACGGGAAGAACATTCAAGTTTGCAAAGCAGTGGTCCTAGCGCGGATCCTTGTCAAAGCAAATAAATAGGACTT